GCCCCGGTCTCCCCAACCCCCGCCACATGTCGCCCTCCACTCCCTGGCTTTCCCAGGAACGCACTCTGGGCCTTCACTCCACCAGCCTGGCCTGCCCTTTCCGCCACTGCAACCTTTCTCTGTCCGGAAGGTTCTAGCTCATTCTTCCAAACCTTGTTTGAGGATCTCCATGAAACCTCGGATTTCACCAGGCAGAATTCTGCTTCCCTCCTCGGTGTTCCCAGAGCATTTCCTAATGTGGCCACCACAGCCCGCCCATGCGTAAACGTCTCTGCTTGTCTCCCTGTGTGTGTCTCTCTGCCCGGGGCTGGATGCTGAGGTCCGCAGACCATTTCTTGTCTATTACTCCCGTGCGCCTGCCCAGGACAGGGGCCTTGAAATCAAATAGAACTGAATGGGATTGCCCTATTCTTGGTGGTGGTTTTTCCCCCTCTACCCTCAGAGTGTTTCTCAATGCAGGCTCACACCAACAGGAGTCTGACCTGTCCTCTTTATTGCTGTGTCCCCAGGCTGTAGGGCTCTAAGCACCCAGTAAACACTTGCTGAATGAGGATGCGAACTAGAACCTCTACTTCATCCGCCAGAAGGATCGCGGTACCTGTAACAGAAGTCGTGTTTCTGGAAGGTTTGGCAAGCCGAAGGGAAGATGTCCAGAAAGGCCCAGAGCGTAGTGCAGGTGTCACAAAGGTAGAGAACAATGTCCTTTAACTCCTGTTGCCAAAAGGAAACACCGTTATTCTCCTCGCCCCGTTACAGCTCTGTAGAGGGCAGGAGACAAAGCTGACAGGGCCAGGGGTCCCCAACAGGCAGAGAGAGAGAAGCCTGTGGTGGGAGAGCAGGGCGGTCTGGGCCAGGCCTGGCTGCCCGTCTCTACGAGCACAATCGGGGTAAGTCACTCACTCTCCCTAGGCCCGGGACTTGCTACCACAGCTCCAATGGGGGTACACCCCGTGGTCTCTAGGGTTACTTCTAGCTCCAGGGTCTGCTAAACTGAAGGAGAATCAACCCTGAGTCTGAACACAACGCCTGCGGTCCCACACAAAGTACATCCCAGTGAGAACAAGAATAGCAAGCCCACGCTCTCCTTGCATTTTGAAGAGGGTGTTCGGGATCGGGAGTGCTTTCTCAGACACTTCCTGGTCGTTATGACCACTTAGGAGCCGGGCAGCTGCTAGACTCTCTATTGTGCAGACAGGAACCGGAGGGTCAGAGGGTGGAAAGGACCTGCTCCCACAGCACCTGGTGCGGGCGTCCCTTTCTGAAACAGTTAATGCCTGTTTCCCAGGAGACCACGAGCTCCAGGCCGGCAGCCCCGGCTGCCGCATT